CATGTGAAGGTTATGGGTTATTATTGCTAGCTTCTTGACTTCCTTTTTCAGTAGTAATAATGTCTATGACATAAAAAAATTTTCCATTTCCTTGCCCTTTCAGATATTGAAAGGATTAAACCCTCAACCATCTTAAACTTGTGTGACCCTCAGTACAGTTCTCCTCTATGTATACTTAGAAAACTAGCCACTTCCTCTTCATTTTCTTCTTTACCTTTTCTATTTCCCATGCAAAACAGGAAAATTTGATGTTAGAATTTAATCGTTGTGAGGCGGTTCCACCGTCATTGATGAAGTTTGTTAAATAAATTTTGACATTTCTATTGTTCATTTGTTTGTGGTCCTATTTCCAGTTCCATCTGATGAAAAAGAAATCTGCCTCAGCAAATTTCACCCATTCTTTCTACTTCTGCCTTCTGTATCCAAATAGAATAAACCTAAACTCTCTTACTTGGAACAGCCCTTAAGATACTTTAAGAGAGCTAACGTCCTCCCCTGAGCCTTCTCTTCTCTAGGCGATGCATCCCCTATTCCTTCAACCAATTCTTATTTTCATTCTCATTCCAGATAAGAAAATTTCCTCCACCAGTACAGACTGGTACCTTCTGTTCCCTAGAACACTGAAGAGTTAACTGACCTACTCAATGTCACAAAGCCAGAATATGTCAGAGGCAGGATTTGAATCCAGGCATTCCTGAACCAAAGGCCAGATCTCTATCCGCTATGCAACATTGTTGCTCATACAATTCTTATATTTTGGGAATGTTGTGCAGTCCAGGTCGGCTGAAGCAAGACTGGGGAGGTCCTCAATGTCATGCTAAATAGTTAAGAGAAAAATACTCCGACAAAATAATAAACCTAAAGACAAGAGCTATAGGATAGAAATTATAATATTAGAGAAGAAGCCTAGTAATATGTAAGAGAAAAATAATGAAGGTAAGAATCCCCAAATGTGTACATAAGAATATAATAAAATGTGGGCAATAAGGAGAACTTCCAAGTTTTATTATGAAAAAATACATTATCAGTTATCAAGAGTTGGTAGAGAACTGCTACTTTTCTGAAATAGTCTCTACCAGCCTGACCCACAAAAATGAATTATGGTTTAGTAGCACAATGGAGAACTTTAGAATATGATCATGTCATCAGTGTTTTAGTAAAGGAAGGACAGTGGACAATGAAATATTGTTAATTCCTTATACTTTAAGGAAGTAGGTTTTTAAAGGTTCAGAATGTAGAGGTTAAATCATCTACAGAAAAGCATTTAAAATAAAATTCACTGGTGGAAAAGAATGAGGAAAAATAGTATGCTTTTATGGGACTGTGATTTGGTTCAGACTTCTTTCAAAGCAATACAGCTTACACAAGCTAAAATCTACCACCCCATTTGAGCATGTGAACTTTGTAATAGGGATCTATGTTAAAGATGTTATTAAAAGGGAGGGGGAAAGTTTTTTTATGGAAAATAATATCCAGTTATTACTGGTAAAAGCAAAACCCTAGAACAGGGGTGGGCAACCTATGGCCTCAAGGTCACATGTGGCCCTCTGGTCCTTAAGTGCAGCCCTTTGATAGAATCCAAACTTTGTGCAGAAGTTTGAAGTTTGGATTCAGTCAAAGGGCCACACTTGAGGACCTAGAGGACCACATGTGGCCTCGAGGCCGAAGGTTCCCTACCCTTTCCCTAGAAATTCAACTCCAACCATTGAAGAATGGTCCATAAATTGTTACATCAATCTTTATTTGTTGATATTGATGCTGTTGTTGTCCAAGTACAATCTGTACTAGACCCAAGTTTTCTATTGGTTCTGACCCAGTTTTCCTTCTTTGTAGAATCTCATCAAAGCTTCCCCCAAACTAAGATAGTTGCTTTGATAAATACTGTTCTTCACTTATTGGAGCCAACTGGTTTTTCTTGCACAAAATCAACTGGAGAAAGTTGGTTCTAATTCAAGAAGATCAACACATTCTTGATTTTAGTGACAGGATGTTATCACCATTTCTTGACTAAATTTCCAACAAGCAGTCTACTTGTAAAAAAGACTCAGCTACCAATAAATGAGAAATCCTAGCTTATTGACCAACAAAACAAATTATTCTAAAGTAATTTAATCTGCTTTCCATAACAGCCAAATACGCTCTTGGATATTTCCAGAGGATGGGAATACTTTGGTCAGTTTTGAGATAAATAGGAAAGGGCAGGTAAGTTAATGACTTGCAACAGAAAATAGTGAGTTCTACTGAGCTCCCAAATATTTTAGGAAGATACGTTTCAAAGTCCCTAAATCAGAGTAGCAGGGAATTTTAGACAGCTTAATTGCTGGATGTTTCCACCACTAGCTGAGGAGTACTTTGTATACGTACTCATTAAACCTTGCCAGAAGAACCTTATCCTGTTCACTTGTACGAGCTGCATGCCAACAATTTTTAATGTTGGGTTTTTTTTTTAGTGTTAATACCTTTACACATTGGGATATCAATCTAATGATGAATTAGGTAGCAGGAATGAAGGATTCACTGCAAGTAACTGGGCATTAACAGGATATCTTCCCTCAATTGCTACCATAACTGTGGGGTATAGAAAGGAAAAGAAAGAATGAATAGCTAGCAGCTAATGATTATTTTTCCCACCAAGTTATTTAGTATAGTGCTTAAATAAGTGTCAAATAAAAATATTTATGGCAAACCTGCTATGTGAAAGACTTTGTTCTAATAGGAATAACAAAGTGCCAAATATATAAAAAAATGCTGTGTTAGGCACTGAAGATACAGATAAAATACAGTCATATGTAGGCATAGGACTTTTCATTTTTTACCAATGCCTTTTCATTGTAATTATTGTACTATATTACATATGATATATTTTCTAATATAATGTATTATACAATAAATAGAATTATAATAATTTATATCAAAGCATATAATAATTTATATATTATATAAATAAATTACATAATATATAATATACTATATTCACTATAATTATGACACTATTTTATCTACCTCATGTCTTGGATGGATTTATTAATATTGCCACGTAAGGAAACTGATGTCCAGAATAATAGTAATTAATTCTGTGTCATAGCTATGTGGCTAGAATCCTATTACTGAGAGACTTGGGAATAATATCATCTCATGACTTATTGCTTTAAATCAAAAGAGCCGTTTGATTCTTTTCAGAATGTATCTTTCATTTAGTGTGACCCAAAGGGAAAAAAAAATGAATCAACCAAAAACAAAAATCAAAAACCTAAGTCACAAGTGGTGCAAAATGAGGTATAATGTCGTGTTCTCCTCTGAAGTGTTTCACACTGATTGAATAGACCACAAATCCACACTAGACTCAGTGGAAGAAAAAAAAAACCATACTAAACTAAAAGATTAAAAAAGAGATTAGCGTACTTATTTTCACAAAGTGCAAATTAACATTTTAAAATTATTTTACTAAACTTGAAAATGCTTAACTTATTTTAAAATACATGTTATACATGATTAAATACAGTTTCTATTAAAAGAGACAGCTATAAAAGAATTTACACAATCACTGTACATTTTCACAAAATAGAAACCACCAGATCTCCAAATTTACAAGAAGTTGACACAGCATACCATTCTTTTCAGCCGATGGATTTTGGTCCCATCATCTACAGACTCCTTGAAAATGTGTCTTGACCTGGTTTATTCTTCATTGTTTACTCACATCAGGATAAAGACAGAAGGCTTTTAAACTCTTCTTTCTGCCTCTCCATTGCATTTTCATCTTATACTAGAACTTTAAAATCAAACCACAATGCAGAAAGTCCATGTTGGAAAGGAGGTGTGTCTACAAGAGTGGGTGAGGCTGACATCACCTAAACATTAAAATTAAAGCTAGTAAACTTCACAATTCATCTTTACATTTACCCCTCAAAAACTTTAATTGTGTCCTGTGCATAATTGGCATATTATCCGCATTGGCTCATGCTATGATGTGCAAAACAATCACAATGTGAACTATAAATAGGAGACTTGAAATAAAATTAAATATTACAAAGAACCTTACTTCCTTTATTATCTAATGATTCTTTCACAGCTGCTTGAAATTCTGAGGAGAGTTGTCTGAAAGTATCTTATAACCATCTGTAATCAAACGACAAAACTCACCTTAAAAGGTGGGGGACTTGATTTGCATAATAACAAGTAGAGTAGCCAAAATTTGCATATTGCCTTTATTTAGCAGGAAATATTTCCTGCTGATTGTCTTTGATTTTTTTTAAGTAGAAAAGGGAATATAAGCATACAGTTGTGGTGTAATCTAACTATACAAATAATTGCAAATGCTCAAAATAATAACACTCTAGTGGGCTGAGAATTCCCAAATTTTGCAGTTCAACTAAATCTTGTGCAACCCTAATATCGCTTCCAACTATCAATTTACTCTGTCATTAAACAACTCAACTACAATTCTGTTCACTGTGGCACAAAGTGACCTGGAAATTGATCCAAAGTAACATTGATTTTCTTTTAAATTAAATGGAAAAGAACAGTTCATTTAAAGAGGAACAGGTGTACTTAAGACACCTCACTGACAAAAGGCCGATGATAAACTGATACGGGGACCATTACGTTTGGTGTCCAGATTTTGTTATCTAACACGGAGTGGCACTTTGGGTTCCTGAAGTTTCTGGGTCCCAGCCAAACAAAGCTAAGTGAAAGCAAGCTGACTAGTTTTTGGTTTTGTTTTTTTTTTTGTCCTAGATCTAATTCCCCATGACATGTAAAGAAGCCTGAACCCAAGTCCAAGACTGAATTTCTGCTCCTCTTTCCCAGGACTGGGGACTTGGTAACTCTTGTTAAAACAGCAATCTAGCTTTCATTCCTTCTAACTGTTCTCCAAAGCTCTTTTTCTACCCCTGCACCATTATGAGAAACCTTTAGGAGCAGACCAGACCAACTCATGGGAATCAAGAAGAAACAACAGTAAAAAGTCTGTGCAACTCTTTTTTGAAAAGTGTCTCGATTTACATGGAAGGTGGTGATACAGGTGTCCACGAAGCTGCGAGGCGGGCATGTGCTGAAGCATCATACTGGCTGTCAGGGATATCTGTGGCTGAGACACTGCCTTCGTACAGCGGAGATCCAGAGGAAGAGGAGGCTGAAACCGCATGGGGCAGGGGCGGGTAGTGTGCAGTGGAGCCCCGCAAAAACTGAGCGCCCAGCCCATTGGACATCCCTGCTGACTGAGCCACTGGTGTGATCGTGCTGTTACTCACTGACCACAAGTTAGGATACTGACTGGAATGAAGAAAACCCAAGTGAGTAAAGAAAGCAGGGAAGCCAGCCGCTGGAGGGGAGAGCAGGTGCACAAGAGGGATACAACAACAAAAATCCTACTTGTAACCAAAAGAACTTGTATATCTAAATATTTTCCCAGAGCACAGTGAGATAGATAAAAGTAGGGAAGGTTATAATAATAATAATAGAAGATGCTAACATTTACATAGCACTTTAAAGTTTGCAAAGCACTTTAGTATTTTTGTTTTCTCATTTGACCCTCACCACATCCTGATGTGGCTGGTGCTATTATTACTCCCATTTTACAGATGAGGAAACTGAGGCTGAGAGAGGTAGTTACTTGCACTGAGACAGACTGATAAAGTGTTTTGAAGAAGGATTAGAGCTCTCATTTTCCAGGATTCTATCTCTCCTTCAATAAGCTACTCTTGTCTCATTTTGATTTCTCTTTAGTAGGTAAAGATGCTAAAGCACAAAAGATTAGTCTAGGATTCCTACATAAACATATACAATAAGCGTTTGATGAATTCAATTAAACCACAGACTTTGACCACATCACTGTTGTGTGCAGAGCACTAAGCCTGGGCTAAGAGATACAATATTTGCATCTCAACTAAAGCTTATAATTTAGAGGGGAGAAATATGCAAGCTAAATAACCAACTGTATTAAAAAAGGGAAAGGCAAAACCAACTTGGGGTTTTCTGGGAAGGATTCTTATAGGCCCAAGGCATGTGAGTTAAGTTTTAAATTAAGTAGGATTCAAAAGGCCAAGGGGAATGGATAATTCCCTGACATCAGAGCTGGCAGGAAAAATAGCATTTTGGCAGGGAAGTGACAGAGTAAGCCTGGGGAAATGCCTGGTCCATTCAGTTGGACTAGGGCAGTTCAGAATGTCAAGAGCATAGAGGGGAGCACTGTTAAGATAAAATCTGGAAAGATGAGAGGGTTCCAGATTGTAGAGTGCCTTGGACTATAGGAATGAAGAGTAAGTTTCCCGAATTTCAGTGCTATATTCTTTAAAATTCACACTACCCAAAAATATTTCTTAGCCTATGAAAGGGAGTTATAATAAACCAGGGACCAGTTCGATGTTATTTTGTGCACTCAATTACCCACAGTAAAAAACCATTCAAGCATGATAGCTTGAACTGAGAGTCAGGAGACCTGAGTTCTCATCATAGCTCTGCAGATGTCCAAAGACACTGCCATAAGTACTAAGGGCAAATGCAGACATGGCTAATGCACAGATTTTGAACTGGAGGACATTACAATTGATAAGAGATATACCACGTGTACATCTAAATAAGTAACTTATAAAAAGGTGGAAAGCTCACAGAGCTAGCTAGGAGTCATAATCACAGAATTTTGAGAAGTTGAAGGGGAGAGAAAGAAAACAAAACCAAGCATTAATTAGGTCCCTCCTTAGGTGCCAGGCACTTCGCTAAGTGCTTTATAAATACTACTTCATTTGATCTTCACAAAAACCCTGTGGGGTAGGTGCTGTTATTAACTCCACTTTATAGCTGAGGAAACTGAGGCAGTCAGAAGTTAAGTGATTTGTCCAAGGTCAAACAGTAAATGTCTGAGGCCAGATTTGAACTCAGCAACACACAGTCTAATCCATACCTGAAAAGAACCCATAATATACTGGACAAATGGTCATCCAGCTTCTGGCTGAAGACCTCCAAGGAGGGAGATCTGATCCCACCCCGTCTTGAGGAACCTATTCCACTTTTGTACATCTTTAATTGTAGGGAAGGTTTTTTTTCTTCTCATCAGAACTAAAATTGGCCCCTTTGCATCTTCCCCTACTGCTTCTGAGACCAAAGGGAACAAATCTAATCCCTCTCTTCCATAACATCCCTTCCTATGCTTGGAACACAGCTATCATATTTCTCCTGTGTCTTGTCTAACTGGCTGTAGAATCTTGGACACAAGTTACTTAGAATCTTTCTGAGGCCTTAGTATCCTTATCTGTAAAATAAATGGGGGTTACTTCATTGAACAAAAAATGAAGGGGAGAACCTAGATCACCTCTATAGTATCTTCTAGTTCTAAAAGTCATGACCCTTTATAGCCGTGAGTGATGGCAAGAATTAATCATATTTCTTTCTGAATTTGAAGTCCATAGCCCCAGCCAGAGGCTTTGAAGCACTTAGCATTATTTCCACCAATAGGTCCTTTGTCCATTTCTTCCTGACCCCCCAAATCCATTCACTAACTCTTTCACTTACACCAATTGCATCCACTTGCTCTTTCAGAACAGGAGCTACATAGTAAGATTCTATAGTAATAAGTGGGGTAAAAAGAATGTATGTTGGAGTCATTAAATGCGAATGGAGAGGTTTTCATATCTTTCTATGACCATAAGGGGGCACTGCCTCAAAGCTGAACGTGGACCAGAGCACGAGTTGAGAGCTGTCTTCTCTGGGCAATCCCCAGGTAGCTCCACAGCCTGCATGAAAGTGGCTCTTGGTTGTTTTTCTCCTCTGATATCCTAAGCCAGCCAGGAGGGCAAGTAGCCAGGAGGAGGCTCTCGCTCCCTCTTGACATACGAAGAAAACATGGGCCTCATTATCACTCATGTGATACACCAACCACTAAGGGTCCAAACCATGCTTTTGTACAGTCTTTGAAGCAAAGCAAATATAACTCTTACCTAGAACCTGGAGATGTGCCAGTGTTATGACTCATGGGTAGCATACTGGTGTGGGTGGGCATTCCAAGACTGGACCAGTTGTCATGGGATTGAAGCATGGACAGACAGGCAGAAGAATTGTCAGAATAGGCTAGGGAATGTATGAGGGGAAAAAAAAGATTACTGGGGCATCCTAAACAAAAAATTCAATACCAAATTAAAAATGCTAATGAAAATAATTATGTAAAACAATTGACATAATTCAAATTATTGTTATCCATTAGAAATATCTGTTTATACGCTCAGTGACAGTGCTTTTTGACTAGTTAGAGACCTGTGTCAATTGTATATGCTTAGAAGAGAAATTAGACAGTTGAGATTAGAAGACACCCACACTTTAGAAGTGGTAAGCTCTATTTAGATGGACATTTTGATGAACAGAGGAAATATTCTACGTACTTAAAATTGCTTAGCAGAGGAAGATTCCATAAAGAAATTGTGTGCCTCAATAGGAAGGAGTTATTACTGAGTGATGAGAAATTACACATAAATACATAGAAATGTAGAAAGACAAATGAATCGATAGAGAATGAATAACAATATTAAAACAGTTCATGTACTAAGACTGTGACAGAATAAAACTAGGGTCAAAATCTAGCACAAGACAAGAAGAACTAGAAAGGAACATGGGTTGTTGCTCTTAATTTGGCAAAGCTAGTTAATGTTAAATTTTAAAAGTAAAATGAAAATCATTTGAAGCTTATGAGTCCTCTATGCTATCTTTTAAAACAATTTTCTTTTAATGCTTTTTTTGGTGGTCATGATGTTTTGAAAAGAGTCGGAGGAGCTGGGCTTAACTCTCCTCTCTGAGAGCTGAGTGACTTTGGGCAAGTCACTTAAATTTCTTGGGTCTCAGTTTGTTAGATGTGAAATTAAGGTGTTAAACTAGAGTATCTGTGAGGTCTCTTCTGGTTCTAGGTCTAAGTCTTGTTGTTATCAGTCATATTTAACTCTTCATGACCCCATTTGGGGCTTTCTTGGCAAATATACTGGAGTGCTTTGCTATTTCCTTCTCCAGCTCATTTTGCAGATGGAGAAACTGAGGCAAACAGGGTTCAATGACTTGCCCAGGGTCACAAAGCTAGGAAGTGTCTGAGGCCAGATTTGAACTCAAGAAGATGAATCTTCCTGATTTCAGGCCCATTACTCTATCCACTGCACCACTTAGCTGCCCAGATCTAGGTCTATGAACTTATTTTTTTATTTAAAATAGAGAAGCATTAAGCACTTGGCCAACTATTAAAGGCAGCCTTACTTAATAAATATCATCTACTTTCTTTTGTCACATTGTGTTTCAGGGCTAACTTGGTGATAGAGGTACCACTTCATGGTGACAACTAGGCTTTTCTTATTGGTATGATCATTAAAGTCAACAGATGTCGTTGGGAGCCCCTCTGGAGACAGTAGAAAGGCACCAGGCAAACCTATCATTCTTCTCTTTATGTTCCTTGAGCCAGCAATGTAATAGAAAGATCTAAAAGGCACCCTCCTGGGTCAGAGTAGTAATGACAAGAATTTATTGATCTACTGATGCTGCAGGGTAGAGGAGAGAACGATAACATCCCTATTCTTGAGGACATTTCTAAATACAGTTGAGAATAAAAAAGATGCATATGAAATAAGCAGAGTCCATAACTTACACTAATCAATGATTCTTAAATTGGGGTCCATGAACTTTTTTTTAAAAAAAAATATTTTTGTAACTGACCACATTTCAACATAATTGATTTCCTTTGTAATCCTATGTAATTTATTTTATGCATTTAAAAAATATACTGAGAATGTATCCATGGCACAAAGAAGGTTAGGAGACTCTGCATTAAGTAGGATATCCAAAATATAATGTAGGACAGACCATACACAATTTCTCTCTGTCTCTGTCTCTGTCTCTCTCTCTCTCTCTCTCTGTCTCTCCATTAATTTGAAATCCATTTTTTCTTCCATTTTCTTTCAGAAAAAATGTGGTCACTTGTTTCAGAAAACCTGAAGGGGGACAATTAATTTGGGTAAGCAAATGGCTCACGATTGCCAGACTACATAGGGAGGGGAGGCAAGGCACTGAAATCCAAGTTTGGTTGTAAGTCAATTTTCACGATTTCAGTTGGGTTTTAGTTGGAAGAGAGAAATCTCTGGTCAAAGACATCTTTATACTCAAATAGTGTGTCTATTTACATTTGATTAAAAAAAAACAAAGAAAGATTAATGTATTGTATGTGATATGATTCCTCCCTTAACAGGGTCCCCGAGAATTTCTGTAGAGTCTAACTGCCTTCTTCATGTTGTTGGCAGATATTCCTAGGGTGGAGAAGGTAGAGCAGTTGTACTTCGTAAGTACTACTCATTTTGGTAGAAGAACAAGTGCTCTAGAAGCCATCTCCTGACTGACTTGGGGTGACTTTCATTAATGCTTTTCCATATCCTTGTATTTTGAATAAGACACCCCGACACTCTCAGGTTTCATGGACATACAAACATTCCAGGATAAATATCCAAAAAGTATAAGTAGGCAATTCTCTTACTTATCCCGCTTCTTCTCTTCCCTCTCCCGGGTCCATGTCCATGTGCAATCACTCCCTTCCCAAAAGGCAGATCAAACCAGGTTCAAAATAATCAACCTCTAGGGCAGCTAGGTGGTACAGTGGATAGAGCATCAGCCCTGGATTCAGTAGGACCCAAGTTCAAATCCGGCCTCAGACACATAACACTTACTAGCTGTGTGACCCTGGGCAAGTCACTTAACCCCATTGCCTAACCAAAAAAAAAAAAAAAAAAATAATAATAATAATAAATCAACCTCTTTCAGTCACCACCAACTAAGCACAGACATCAGACTTACTTGGAGAGTTGTTCCGGTGAGTATATGGATTGGGATAGGGAGATGATCGGTGGTTCCTCAGTGTGGGGTACCGTTCACAGCCATGTGTAGAAGAGAGTGCTAAAGGAGAGCCAAACTGAGCATGGGGATTGGCAGGTGGACAAAGGGTACCAGTTCCAGGAAGAAGCCACCCTCCTACTGTGAAAAAGGAAAACTGAATTACTTTGAGGATTATTAAAGCAGAAAATGGGGAAGAGAAATCTATATTGTTTTGTAAAATACATATGTTTTACTCATTAAATTGTGTTTCTTTTGCAAATATTTCTCTCAGACCTCTTATCTCCTTCCTTCCTTATTTCCCCTCAAGTAGCTTCAGATCAGCTTTCATGTGAACAGCTTAGTTATGAAGAAAGTAAAAGTGAATCAGAAAATACATGAAGATTCAGAGTTCAAATCTTCCTTACTCCCCAAATACTGACTTTTAATAATTTTAAGGATGCATAGTTTTAGCACTGTGGATAACTCCATACAATGCAGATCACAATCTCTCCATACCTTAATAGACAATACAAAGATTTGTGGTTAAAAAAAAAGTAATCATTTAGGGAACCTAGGGAACATGTTAATAATGCCTACAAGACCTGATTGGTCTTTGGAGGATCCCCAAAATACTTTCTTTCCTCATTTTCTCTCTCTCTCTCTCTCTCTCTCTCTCTCTCTCTCTCTCTCTCTCTCTCTCTCTCTCTCTCTCTCTCTCTCTCTTCAGTAATTTGAAATCCATTTTTTCTTCCATTTCCTTTTTGGAAAAACGTGGTCACTTCTTTCAGAAACCCTGAAGGGAGATAATTAATTTGGGGAAGCAAATGGCTCACATTTGCCAAACTACAAACAATTCCTTAGACAAGATCTAAGTAAGCTAAACAGATATACACACAACATATGTGAAACATCATCTGTGATCCCAGTGTGTTTATCATCTCCTCTAAGTGGCTTTAAGTACTTTTTGAGTTACTCTAGAAGAAATTTGTTAACTACTATGGGATAACAAACAGCCAGATAGTGAGAAAAGAAGAGGAAAAAAGGTTTTAATCAGAAGTGTGTCATTTCTGTTAATCTCCTTGCTGCCACTTGAAATTACTGGCCATAAGCTTGATGGTTCCAATACTATCATTACTTTTAAACCTCAAACTCCCATTATTGCTTTGCCTGCATGCAGTGCTTTCCAAAAAGCTCTGTTCTCTGCTCTACATAGAGGGAGTAAGCTGATACACTTTTACACAGGAGCAGGGAAACGCTGCCTCCTAATATACCCATAGGGAGAATGTCCCCACTGCAGTTGTGTAAAGAGAGCCCTACTTGTCTAGAATTCACTCCTCCCCCCCACCCCAAAGAGAATACTAAACCCAGAGCATAGAAGCATGAAGCCAAATCCTAACATTTCACCTATCCTAGCAGCCATCTAGAGGCTACTTTTGACTGGTAAGCCTCTCTAGGCCTTACAGAAAAGCTGGTCCAATTCAACTTTACCTTGGGTGCAGCACAGAGCAATTTTCCAGATCCTTCAATGACTTGGGACTGGATTTAGAACTCCCAGGAACATTAAAGATTAGATCCCCTCAGACCAATTCAGTTCTCCCAGTTTAAGAAGATTCCCACTTCCCACAGATCTCAGCACAAAGTTGGTTCCTATGATATTCCCCCACTAACGCCATTTATTAGAAGTAAACTCTGCTGATGTGCATTCTTCCTTTGCTCCCTCTAGACAGCGGCCAGACAAGGGCCACTAGAAAATGTTTCTCTCTCTTTCTTTCTCTCTCATTTTTCTGGCCCTGATTCTTCCCACCTGGTAAGCTGCCTCTGTATGTGTGTGCAAGAAGGCAGAAGTGAATAACAACATAACCCTGACCAAATACAACTTCCCTAGCTACATAGGCTCACAAAGCTTGAGAAGTACCGATCTTAATTGAGGAGGTAATCAGTATAGGGAAGGTGCTGTCAGCATCATTCTTCCCTGTTCGCTGTACCCAAAAGAAGGACAATTTTCCTACCCTGCCTTCACTCACTGACCTCAAAATTACTTTCCTTGTCTTCTAGGTCTATCTCCATCTCCTAGGATTTAGTAACAAAGTGTATTTTAAAACGATAGTTCAGTGCATAACATACGTTGTGAGTATCCAGTCTGTTGATTGTCTCCTGATTCTTCCAGCATATCTTTGTGGTCACTTCTATAAAAAACAAATTTAATTTTGTCAAAAAATAAAACTCTTCCAAGGAACTTTGATAGAACTAATATTTAAGCTTGTATATACTTCGCTAAGTAGGCATGGTTAGTAGGAATTCTCTCACCTTTCCTTTGCATCAAGGAAAGCCTTTGCAAATGGATTGTATTTAATTTTAAGAGCTGTGATCTGAAAAACAACAAGAAATTGAGTTTGCTAACATACTTTTGCATTACCCCAGTGCTAAATTTAGTACTAAACAACACCCCACAAAAGATCAACAATCAGCAAATATCTAAATGAATTTTTCCATGAGAAAGGCCTCTGTGACAAATGACGATGTTCTAAAGAAAATTTCCATAAGTATCATTCATAGACCACGTTTCCTTAAGGCCAGTTTCCTGAAGAAGATTCACCCTAATAAGTTCATAAAAATCATCTAATTGTCTCAGATTAATTTTTGGATGTATACAATGTCAAATGCGACCTTCAAGATAAAATCTCCATCTTCTTTGCTAGACTCTAATTTGTTGTGTACATTTATCAGATTTGTTACATAATTGTCAAGTCTCCAGGGCACTGTTTGGTGTATAAGTTCTGTCAGGGAAACAGAGATTGTTGACAACTCTATTAAATCCCTGCCAAGATTTTACCCCAAAGAAAGGATTCTATCCCGGACAGGAAGGTTCTTTCTCCTTTAAAGTCAAAAGAAGATTCTACAGTCTTCTTTCCGCATCAGACGACTGTGAGAGGCCGGAATCTCTTCTATCTATCTTAATTTACACTGATTAAGAGCTGGGACTGTCATCTAGTCTAAGCCCTCTCATTTTACAGATGAGGAAACGAAACTCAGGGGTAAAATGATTTGTCCACAGGTGCCAAATGACAGAGCCTTCAATTCAAACCCTCTCAGGTCCAGACAAAGAAATGGATGCCTTGTCATTTCTTTAATTCCACAAAGGCCTTTCTTACTATTTACTTTTAGTATCAGTACTACTGCGTTTGTTGATACTTACTTTGGGCCTCTAGGTGACACAGAGGTCAGAGTGCCCAGCCTGGAGTCAGAAAGACTCATCTCTCTGAGTTCAAAATCCGGCCTTAGACACTTACTAGTAGCATGACCCTGGGCAAGTCTCTTAACCCTGTTTACCTCAGTTTCCTCATTTATAAAATGAACTGGAAAAGGAAATGGCAAACCACTCCAATATCTTTGTCAAGAAAACCCAAAATGGGGTCGCAGAGAGTCAAATATGACTGAAAAATGACTGATAAACAACATATAGCATTTTAACATTTATACTGTGTTTTACATGCATTATTTCATTTGATAAAATATGGATAGTTCCAGTGAGAGGCAAACTGGCCTAGCCTAGAGGATAGATATCGGCCTTGAGGGTTAGCACTGCTCCCCTCTGAAACATGCTTGCTGCTGACCTGGGACAAGTCACTTAACCCCTTAGGGCCTCAGGCCACTCTCTAAGATTAGAAGTCATAGATTTGTAGACTACATTAGTACAGAGAATTTCTTCATCCAAAGAGCTCTGTAGCTATGAAATTACAGATAAAGAACCATACGTTATCATACATTTCATTTTAGATTTCTTTTTCCTCTCCTCTCCTATTTCTCTTAAGCCTGTCCACCAAGGTATTCAACATGATTCAAATGCTCTGAAACTATACTATTAATCCTGAGGTAAGCACTTTTAAAAGTTTAAACAGAATAAATCCTTATTGCAAAATGTATGAGCCCAAATAACAGAGCCAAATGTGATCCCTTTAAAAAGGTGGTCCAAGTCTTCCACCGTTTATCTTATCTCTCTTCCCCCCACCCCCATTCTCTTCTTTGCAGGGAGCTCCAAGTTTCAATTTTCTGAGCGAGTGGAATCCCAGAAGAAAAGCAATTCTGAATAGTTCTTCCTACCTCCTCATTCTGGTATGCAGTAACTGCTATAAACTGGGTCTCAGGAAAGGAGTGGCTAGTTATCATGCGCTGGGGCCCACCAACTCTCACTATGTGGATTCGGGGCTCATACTTGTGTAAGGAGTTCAGCATGATCTGAGGAAGGCAGGAGAAGTCTCCATTAGCATGCATGGTGAGGAAAACAGCTTCATCAGAAAGAGAAGTCATTCATTTGACACTAATGCTTTTAAGAGGAAGATGGCCATTCCAGAACCCAGCATGCACGTCCTAAGCATAGCAGATCTATCCCAAATCAAAGGATGTTGTCATTAGGGGAGAAAAAGTTATTTAGGTCACAGGTAATACCTCTCAAGATATTTATTTATGTCGCATTGAAGGATAACCTTTTCATAAAGGGGTAGGAGAAATATGCTACACAAACACCATTAAAGTCAATGAAAGCGAATCAGAAAACTCTTTGGTCTGGCAGAATTAAGACCCAAGGCCTCCATAATGGCTAGGGAAACCCTTAAAAGTCTGGGTTTGTTTTGAATCTTGGCAGGAAACAAAGTATTCCACTAACTGTTCCCAACCACAGAAGAAAATAAAATTAGAAAACCAATTTTTATTTACTACTGGTTGAAAAAAGCTTCAAGTTGTAAATGTTGTAGGAGACATTTAGTTTTACTAGAAGAAATGTATATCATCAAACTCAATACATACCCTTAGCCTTGGGATACCTGAGATCTACATATGGGATGGGAATGGAGAGCTACACAGTAGCCAATCTCTCTCATACAATTTTCAGATTCAGGCTTCTTTTTCCTTCCCTCCTGCCCTCTCCATTTTAGACAGACTCGGTGTTACTGTTATCAGCTTTATACAAATAAGAAGTTAAATCTTGAATCAGGAAGGGGAAGGGGCAGGATTCTTTTGCCTGAAGACACTGATCGCTGGGTGTCCCACTGTGTCTGTCCTTCTATCCTCTCTGCTTAGGACTTGCTTCCCCACCAAAGCGTCTGTCAAGGCATGGCCAGGACCTACCTGCCCCCCTCCATTGAGTTTGTTGGTGAGTTTGACTTTGCTGAAGGAGACAGGTGCCTTCATCCAGTGAGCTCCAAAGTTTGGGGAATCTGGGTGAATGTAGACACAGCTTGGGGCCTGTGGTTCTGGTTTGCCCCCCGGCACCCACTCTCCATTTACATACTTCCATCGGTGATTGTCTGCAGCCACAAAGTCCAGTAGAAAAGAGTACATAGCGTTGGGATCCAGGCCAGATACATTTACCTTCAGCACCGGGAACATTCTCCTGGAAAGGGGAGGAAGCAAACAGGAGAGTGCCAGAGATGAGGGTGGATGGGGTATAGGAGAGAAAGGAGAGGTGGAGCTGAATTTTGTCTCTAGTATGTAGCAAGTTCTCAATGTTTAAACTGATGACCCTCAGAGCCCAGCAAAGGAGCCTCTCTTCCTCCCCTTTCTTGGCTGGTTGAGGGGATACTGTGAAAAAGGTGGTACTGGGAAATTTCAGGAATGGAAGAGGGAAAGTAGAGAGAAGTGGGAAGTAGAGGAGGAGAGAAAGAACTGAAAATTAGGAAACCCAACATTTCCACATAGGTCCTGAAGTATTCCAAGCTTCCTGACACATTCCTCTATATTCCCATAGGGGCTGGTGGCTAAAGATGGGTATGAGAAAGTATAAATGTGTGCCGATCCAGGGCCCTGGCCTTTCACAATAACAAGCTCTTGAGGCCTCACTCAAATCTGCTTGCTAAAGTGAATGAATGGGGGGTGTGTGTGTGTGTGTGTGTGTGTGTGTGTGTGTGTGTGTGTGTGTGTATGTGTGGGGGGGGGTGTGGGTGTGGGTGTGAAAGAGGGATAGGGTAGGGTGGAAGGAACAGTATTTCCCAGAAGAAAAAGGTGACATAAAAGATTTGCTCCCGCCAGAAATTGAGGTCCGTATTCACAGCCTCTCACAGTGTGTCTCCAGACTGCAGAAATGCAGACCTGCCCCCTAAATTAGAGGGCTTACCCTCCATCAACCAGAAACTGAGTTTCTTCCAGAAGACTGGGAGATTTAAGAGCTGGATGGCCATCTAATCCAATGCTCTCATTTTACAGAGGAGAAGACTGAGACCCAAAGAAGTGAGTGACTTGCCCAAGGCCACACAGACAAGCAACGGCAGAACTGGATGAAGAGAGTTTGGAGCAGGAAGGTCCGGAAATCGGGGTGCAGAGGTCCTCGCCTTACCTGCCGTTCTTGGTAACGATCATCTCGTTGGTGAGTTCCTTGAAGCGGAGCCAGAGTTCATTCTCCTCCAGCGTGACGCGCAGCGCGCTTTCTGTGGGGTCCCCCTTCTCGCTACCAGCCTGAAGCTCATTCTCCACAGCACTCAGGAGATGGTCCACTCGGTACTGCAGGCTCTTCCCAGAGCTTTCAGTGTTGGGGGAGCTCATCCTCTCACTCTCTGCCCCCCCCTCCCCACCCCCTCCCCTCCCCCCACCCCCAAAGGTCCAACTCACTCTTCGAGAGCCACTTTCAGCTATACCAGGTTGCCACCTTTGCAAGAAAACTCAGTGCAGGAAGGAGTTGCGAAGTCTCCCCAGCGCACAGCTGCAAACTTGGAAGGAGTGGGTAGATAGAAATTGGGGGGAGGGGGTCAGGGGAAAGGGGAGGGGGGAATAAAGTTAATTCCACTTGAACTCTCGGTACGTGAGACAGAAACTGGTCTTAGGGGTAGTAATTATGCCCCCCATAAATAGAGCCCATGTGGCCCTGGGAAGAGGGGGCATGCCTGATTGGACAGGAGCACCCTTTGATGTGCTTGGCTCTGGGGACCGATTGGCTGACTGCGGCCATATCAGAACCGGGCCCGAGGAAAGCCTGTGATGTTAATTGCCGCCAGTGGGATCCCGCGAGGTTGTTTCATGTAAATTCCCCTCCCTAACCCTCCTTCCCCCTCCCTTCCCAAGTCTCTACACACCCACACCCACACCCCACCCCCTCCGCCTTCCCCAAAATGTTTGCACCTCTATCAAAGCCGCTGGAACCCGCCACTGCAGCCGCCGAGGAGGAGGAAATGGACAGCCCCATAACTTGCCGCCTCCTGGCCCTCAATTCATACATTCATTGCAGAGGCATTGACACTTCTCTATTTTTGCTCCTCTCTTCACCCACCCCCACCTCCTACCCCTGCCGGTCTTCCCTTCTCTCTCTCCTAGTCCACCCTCTCCCAGCAGGTTTGAAAGCATGGGGCAAAGGCTAGAGATTCAAATTTGTGGTCTCACCTGGAGATCTGAGGGCAACAGTCCTTAGGAGATGCAAGTCAGCTTTTCCCTTCAAAACACGCAAACTCCTTGGTAGCACCTGGTTGCTGGCTAGCTTTCTATAAAGCAATAGATGTAGCTTCTCTGGGTTTTATGCACAGATAGAAAGTTGGAGACTGTCTTGAGTCACCTTCTCCGACTATACACGTTGAAGGTTGTGTTTGAATCGGCCCTCCTTAGGAAGCTGGAACTTCTTATCAGAAATGGGAAACACTCAGAAATGTGTTGGTTTATTTACCAAGGGGCTACCCAATAGCCAGAGGACATATAACCTGAACTTTCAAAACATTTTTTTATTCCACAACTAAACATTTCAATTTCATTGCATATTCATGCATTTATTATTGACTGGGGGAGATGGTCTTTATTTCTTTCCTTTTTCGCGAATCACTAGACTACTGAGCTCGGACCCGAGGAGCAGGATTGAGAGAGACAGTGAAAGGGGTTCATTTATTCCCACCCACACGCAGGGTTTGGGAATTGCTCCCAACTCAGAGTACTTTGCATTCTCTGCTGCAGTCGGTGGTGTGAGGAGAGGTTTATTACCTTTCGGTGAGAACCTCTGGATGTAGGGAGAAGGAGAGGTGACAATGAGCAGGAAATAGTTCAATGGGGTCTCTTTAAACAATAACAATCCCTTTAAACAGGAGCCCAAACTGGCGACAGAAAGCAGAAGCCAGTGTAAAGCTGAGAATCTTTTTTTTTTAAACTCAGAAAGCCTTTCCACATTTAAAGATCTGGCCTGATTCATTGGTTTGAGTTGATTCAGGAAACCTTAGGTTACAGACGCAGTTGTTCCTTGTAATGTTTCTCCATCAACATCAAATCATCTGTCCCCCTCCTCTTAGAAGAATAGAGGTGTCTGGTTTAGTGTAGTACTACTACTACTCTATGTTAGGAGGAGGGATTTTCACGGTAACTGGAGGTCCTCACCTACTACCATCCCACGAAGTTAACTCTACGCTACCTTTTTGAACACTTTCCTGCTACTTAGAAGGTTTCCAGAATACAGACACATAAACGAAAAGCTACGTTCTCGAGACGATCTAGGAAAAGGAGGAGTCTTTCCTTCCATCCCTATGTCTAAATCTAAACGTTAATGGGAAGGGAACTAAAACTTTTAGTTCATTTAGAGTTGGAGGGAGCTGGCTGGCCACCAACTGCGTTCATGGTTCAGGACTGGTGGACACCCAGTCTATTCCAGGGTGGTTGCAGACTATCCCATCCCTGCGACTTTGCAGGGATCTGCCCCTCGGGGAATGGAATTGAGATAAACTCACACTGTCGTTCCCGAGTTGATTTGTCTGCTCATGTCCAATTTGACTTGCCTTTCTTACTTAAAACAGGAATCCCCAATCAGAAACAGAATCAGTTTACTTATCCTGTCCTCAATGCTCTTGTTAGAGCTTTAATTACTCTCTTGGGAGAAAAACAGACTAGGAAAGCAGTTCTAGAAATTATTCATTAAAACCAAAATGGACTAAAATACCTTCCATCTGAATTCTTTTGGTTACTGGTTTTGGTTAGTCTATCTATCTTGACCAATTTTTTTTTAAAGTATCCTGAAGGAAATAGTTCTACTTTAGACTTTCATTCTGCATTTTGTATTTTTAAAGGGAAAACGTCGGGGCATCCGGAGAGAGTAAATGCATGTGAGAAAGTGAAGATCTACACCAGGGAAGAACTCAATTGGGATGCGGCACTAGGGTGCAATCTCGTTTCATCCGTGTTCATTCAGAGCTCTGTTTGCTTTGGTAAATGGTTTCCCCATTAGTTCATAAGAGCTAATGAATATTGGAAGAATCAGTAGATAATTTTGAAATCTTTGCTTAGACTTCAGTTCTGAAGCACAGGGGGATTTCAGGATAAAGCAAAAAGAAATTCACAACAGGAATATTAAAGTTCCAAATATTTGAAAAGAGGTGTGAGCCTTTCATAAAGCTCAGTGAAGAAGAGATGTGCCTTGGGTTTCCTTAGGTAGGGTGTAGAGGAGTTCTGGAAGCTGGATGAGGTGGGATTTTTCCTTCCCTTGAGTGACTTACATGTTCTCCGGTTTCCCAGTATTATTTCTTTGCTTCACTTCTTGTATCTCATTTTTGAATCCTAATTGTTCTTTGGTTCTCAAGAGAAGACCCTACTCTCACCGCCTTTTCACTGAGAGCTGCAGTGCATGACCATTTACAGCCAAAAACTTCCTCCAAGCCCAGCAGCAATAAAGACTTCCCAGTTTATAGCAATGTGTTCCCCACACTGGGGGCTGGGGCACTTCCAGCTGTTTCTTTCTCAAGGTCTGTCTGCCTTCTCATTGCTATGTCTCACTCACCCTGGGATATCAGTCCATATCATCAACATCGGACATGCTCCTTATTTTTCTTGCAATAAATAGGTTATGGACAGACACCTTGTCTACCCTACTTTCCTCACCTTTCCTCTAGACAATAAGCAAAGTAGACTGACAAGCGTTTTAAAAGCTAAACAATCTCTTCTCTCCACCCACCTCCCCAACCTGAGCTTCAATTATCTCCAATATGGGACACTGAAGGTCCCTTTCATTCTCGACCAACCTTTCTCTTCTGGTACAATGGGTCACCATGACAGACATTAAAGGAGACGATTAAGGAGATTAGTCAAGTTTACGATAATAAGTATGCAGTGGCAGGGATTTCACAGAACTCAGATATATAAATGAAAAGCCGCATTCTCTGTATTTCTTTCTAACTTCATATGGGATTTGGACGGCTGTGGCTTTTCCAGTGATAATAATGAGATGTTAGAGATTGTAGATTTAGAGCTGAAAGGGACCTTAGAGGTCATCTAGTCCAATCCCTTCATTTTACAGATGACAAAACTGAGGCCCAGAGATATCAAATGACTTGCCCAAGGTGATGAAGATATTTAAGTTGCAGAGTTGAGATTCCAGTACAGTTCCTCTGACTCCGAAGCCATGTGTTCTTCCACCATATTAAGCTGCCTACAACTCATATTTACGTAGTGCCTTAAAGTTCCTTAATTCTGAGCCACTCAAAATATGATTTATTCCAATATGTCTAGGATTCATGACACTCGGTTCTAGTGTTTTCCTGCAGAATCAGCTATTCTATTCATTCCTCTTTAACTGAAAGCAATCCAAGGAAGTGACTCACACCCCCCCAAGTGTCAAGATGCTGCTGAGGGGCACATACTAATTATTCTAGTAGACATTTACTTCCAAGGGAGCTACTCCCATTCAGGTGGGGGAAATGTTAGGGACAAACTTCTCTGAATACCTGAGATTAAATCCTTTCCCAAACACTTAATAGCTGTATGACCCTAGGGGGAAGAGAAGGTGCATTTATTAAGCACCTACTACGTGCCAAGCACTGTGCTAAGCACTTTACAAACATCTTATTTAATCTTCACAATAACCCTGTGAGATAGGGGCTGTTATGATTCTCATTTTACAGTTGAGGAAACTGAGGCAAATGGAGGCTAAGTGGTTTGCCCAGAATCACACAACTAACAAGTATCTGAGGCTGGATTTGAACTAGGGTCTTTCTGATTTGGCCCCAGGCATTTTCTCTGGCTGTCTCCATTGCCTGGAATGTTCTCCTTCCTCATCTCTGAGTGCTGACTTCCCTAGTTTTCGTTAAATCTGAACTAAAACCCCATCTTTTACAGGAAGCCATTTCCAACCCCTCTTAATTCTAGTGCCTTCCCTCTCTTATTTATTTCCTGTTTAACCTGTATATAGCTTGTTTGTACATATTTATTTGCTTGTTGTCATCCCTCCCCCCCAATTAGATAGTGAGCTTCCTGAGGGCAGGGACTGTCTTTTACCTCTTTCTGTATCCCCAGCACTTAGCCCAGTGCCTGACGTATGATAGGTGCTTAATATATTTATTGACTGACTCTAGACTCAGTACTCTATCCATTGGGCCACCTAGCTGCCCCAGGCAAGTAAATTACAACCTCTCTCAGCCTGTGATTCCTAAGAGATAAAATTAGAATAATAAGGTACCCACCACATAAGTTAGTTATGTTGCTCAAATGAGAAAAATACGTGTAAAATATTTTTCTAACCTCAAAGTATTATATGTGTTAGTTATAATTATCCATTTCCACTATTTTCTTCTCACAGAATGTCTTGATTC